TTGGTCTAGTTTGTTGTGCAAATATTTTGGTACACTTGAATTAAGACAAAGCTAAATTAAAAGTAACTTTTCAGCCAGAAGTAGAGGATTGTTGTAAGTCAATAATTCCTTAATATTAATGGAAAAGTACTAGTTCAACGGCAGATTATTACACTAAAATGAGACATGTTTCCCATGTTGTAAGTGAAATGATCTGCCTTTGAACTAGTAGTTTTTCATCAATATTAAGGAATTGACTTGAAACAAACTCTTGTTTCTTTCTGGAAAGTTACTTTTTGTCTTATTTCAAGTGTATTAAGAAATTTGCACTAGAAACTAAACCAAAAATACTTGGTAAGATATGTTGTTTGGCCCTCTTCTTTCCCTTTCCCCTCATTCCTGAATGTTTTCCTCCATGTCCAGGCTGCTGTTACTTTGTCACTTTGTAACAACAGTCTAGTCTCTGGAGTCCTTCTTCCTCTCTTTTGTGTTACTTCATGGTTCTTCTTCCTCGTTAAGGTTCCCTTTTATTGTGGATTTTTCAGGCTGCACAATATTGCTACAATGTTAAATAGTGCTATTGTTGAACACTTCGATTATTTTCCATCGTCACATTGTTCCCACTACAAGATTTTTAGCACCTTACTCACTAGAATGCATTAGGACTCCATTCTAAATCTATTAATTATTAGGAATCCAGTGAGTTTGATTGCTCTCCTTTTAATTTTATTTATTATAACATCAACATCCAGATCTTCAGAAGACAGCTGAGGTTTTAATCTGGCTGGAGGAGTTTCTTTGTCCCTCCTCTATTTTCTATATAGAACATCGCTTGGAGAACTAAAATAGCCGATGGAGTCATTTTTAGTCTCCAGTCCTCTGGAGAAACGGTTTGTGTGTCGAAGTCATTTTCTGTGTCAAGCGCTCGAGTCTAACTATTCCAGACATCATCATTCGAGGGCCGAAATGTAACAAATATTTAAATGTGGAATTAAATAAATAAAATGTAAAAATTTTTTCTCAGAAGCTTGGTAGAAAAATAAATCTATGTATTTAAATCTGTAAATGTATTCAGTTATTGCATTGTTGCTTTGCTGCAGAGCGCCGTCAAACTGTCAGCTCTGACCGTCAAATAGGATTAATAAGAACATCGAGAACATTTTTTAAACTTTTAAATAGAGAAATTAAATGGTTGGATCCTGATATTTGTGGAAAATTATGCAAAAATGAAAAAAAAAGCATAATTTCCAACATGGCAAGAAAAAATGGATTTGTGAATCTATGATCAATACTTTTAGTGTCGTTTAATGAAATTATTTCATAAAAATAAAAAAACGGGTAAAAGCTGGATTTGTTTGGTTTTTGAAATGTCATTGACATTCATTGCTTTGCACTCGGCTCTCTGTATGTCGGTAAACGATCTCTGCAGCTTTGCAGAAGAACAATTATTTCACTGAGGGCTTATGGGTAAAAAACGCTGGTGGACAGGAACAAGGGCCAAACAAAGACAAGAGGAAGCATCAGAAAATATGTCTGAGGAAGATGTAAGACGAGGAGGAGGATGGAAGACAGAAATTTGTGGAATGCCTTTGCTGGTTGGTCCTCCCTGATAAAGGGTTAGCATGGGAGGAATGTGACCCTGAAAAGTCTGGATAAACAGTGTGGAAGGAGGGGAGTTAACACTCAGCAGAGGGGAGAGGGAGCTGTGGGATGGAGAGGAGGAAGCTCGTCGCCAGCGGAGAGGAAAAAACATGGTTAGTTCATCCCACAGCTGGACAACTGGGGATGGGTTGGTAGATGAAGGTTATCAGCTGCCTGTAGACCAGGGAGTCATGAGAAAAATCAGTCGTCTGCTTGAGCACATTAAATAGCAAAACCTCTAATTTCTGGAACGGCACATGAAATTTGGGGCCATCACCCGGTGACTGGGCAGCCTTTTAAATCGCGGTACGTCAGTCAGGACTTTAGAGTTGTATCTGGAGTTTGGTTGGTTTTATTTCTAAAGCTTTGACCAACTTATACCAATTTTTGTCAAATTAAGATTTCTCTTTAAAAATTGCTATATTGCAGTTGTATTATTTATACAGCAGAGTTGTCAAGTGGTGGAGGAAGCAGTCAATGTAAAAGAAGGTCGTCCTTTGTTCCCCCCATTTAAAAAAAAAAAAAAAATACTATTAACCAGTCAGAGGTGGGTGATATGGACTTCAAATTTTAAGATATTTTGCAGTAAGGTAATTTTATTTATATACCACATTTTCAGCAACTAGGCAATACAAAGTGCTTTACAGGAATTAAAAGGAAATGCAAACAAAATAACAAACCAAAGGAAAGAGCAAGAGAAGAAAAAATAATCTAATGTTGATCTAAAGTATGTAAACTAAGTGCTCCTGTTCAGGGTTGCTAGATAAGTATCCTTGTCTAAATCCTTTCCTGGAATTAGACCACAGGATAAAAAAGACTACTGTGTTCTACTATAACAATAAAAGTGATGATAAAAACAATTTACTTTTGTATGCAACTGTATGACCATGACTGTGTGTCGCAGCAATTATAGTCCCACAAAAACAAATAATGTTCTTGAAAAACATTCCCCTTTTATAATATGCTTCTTTAGAACACCAGTCATGTAAAAAAGTGTGATTTCTATCACCAAACTGCACATGGTAACTATGTTTTCAAATATTTATTGATGCTTTTGTTGGAACAGTGGAGAAAATGGTAAAATTATCACAATAAAGACATTTTGGGCAGATTTAAATATCATTAGCTGGAATTTATTGTGACGGTGAATCAACATCCTTAAATTTATCACAATAAATAACAATATGATAAACACCCGCCCCTAACCAGTCATTAAGTGTTGCTGCCTTAGGCCTCTCATGTTAGCAGCTAGTGCATTCAGAGCAGAAGTCTCCATGATTGAGTTTAGATCCTTATCTTAACACTGAGATTTCCAAAAATCTGTCAGCACTCCTAGATCCAGCATGCTTCCTGTTATCTGCTAAAAATCTGGCTCTCCTTCTCAGTATGAATAAATTGCAGTAACAGTAAATACAGCTTCCTTTAAAAGAGCTTAAGCTTGTTTTCCCCAGAAAACGGGAAGGCGGGTGACATCACTGCTATTTATTTTCCACCAACTTGGGGTTTCTATAGTTACATTTTTCCTGAAATAAAATCTTTAAAAACAGAAGATTTGATTAATCTGTAAAAGCCCTACCACAACCTCTTGGTGGTTAGATATTGGTGTACACTAAGAAAAATAATCAGATTTCAGATAGTCTGCCCAGTCAGAGCAGCTTAATCTGAATCTGATTTCTTCTACAAAGTTTTGACTAATCTCGTGTTAAACCAACCCAATTGGTCATACTAAGAGGAGTGTGTATAATTCTGTAATACTTCATTTCTGACCCTTTCTTGTTGTTTATTATTTCATTTAAGCTTTGAGAAATCCCAGCTTGTTGGGGCTTAGTGTCTTTTTTTCCTGTTAAGTGTATCAACTCAGCAATAGATCATCCATTTCTCACAGGGCAACTCACTTTGTAGAAGTCAGTTAAAGCATTCAAACTTAACCTGACCTCTGCTGTGATTTTCTTTCTCATTGCTCTTTTGGAAACTGCTGAGCATCAGACGGCTCTGTGTCCTATCGGACGAGGGGAAAAACGTCCGGCATCAACAGCCGTGGTGTCGCTGCAAAAACGGTGTCATGCTCCTGCAGTTTTGGAATGATAATTGGACTGATAAAGCCCCAAGCTGTGCTGTCAGTCACAGCGGTTCATGCTGGGTTAATTCCCCACAGCGCTGCAGCTTTATTGTGACTTTGATGACTTGGATTTTTCACACTTTCTCCTTCCCGGTTCTGGTTCTACTGGTTGAGTCACTTTCTGCAAAGTGCTCTGTCAACAAGATGTTTACGAGCACAAAGCTGTGTGCAAAAATGTTCACAAGAAACTGTGGGAAATACAGTGTTGCACTTAAACTTGTACGTATGCAAATAAGAAATGAGTATAAACTACTTTTTTGGGATTTATTCAGAATTTGTGATGTTGAAGCTTGCTCCTCTAACCCAGGAAGACTTTCATTCTCTTAATCGGTCTCATAATATTGTTCTGAACATAAAAGTTGAAAGCTTGTTTCAAAACCGGTTTCCAGTTTGCATTGGGTCTTTTCCCCATTCAGACTTTGGTTTGCAAAATACTCAAAGCTATTTCTTTGTTCCTGTAGTCCTTTGAGGTAAATTGAGCATTTTAATCAAGATAATGATGTATTTTTAGCACGTGCTCTGCTAGACTCAAAAACATATTTCACTAAAGCCATAAAATTTTGAATAGCAATGATGATTTTAAGATTCAACAAACATGATTTGTGACTTAATTTAGAGCTTAAAGTGCTTACAATTTGATGTAATGCAAATGTAAAACTTGACTGACAGAAAATGGTCAGATATGCATCAAGTCACGTTAGCGACTCGGCTCTACCTTCCCCCACGACTCTCATTCAGCTCCTTCAGACTAGCCAGCAGTCATTAGCGAACATCTGGTAGATCTGCGGATCAGCTGAGCTCATTGTAGAGCGACTTTTCAATAAAACGCTGTTGAAAACGTTTTTAAAGGGTTAATAGAGGAACCATGTTGGGATGACTTCCTAAGGCGGAGTTTTAGAAAGAGCAGGAGTTTTTAAAGAGACAGAGGCCCAATTTCAAGGCGTTAAATTACAAAGTCAAATTTCTTTTAAATCATATTTGATACATATACAGCATTTTTATCACAACTGAAATTTACACTTGATTGTGCTATAAAATGGCACTATCTGGCTTCAGCGTCCAAGGTTTTAAAATGGCCAGATTGTTGGTGGAAATTTTTTTTTTAGATGCACAAAATCTTTACAGTTTTGAGTCAAAATTAAATTATTGAAGACATTCAACTTATACAACTTCATGTCTTTATTTTTATGCTTTTGTTATCCTTATTGCACTGAATCTGTGTCGGAGCTTCCTGTTCTAACTGCTCCCTCTCTCTTTCCAGCCACCATGTCAGACGCGGACAAGTTTCTGTACGTGGACCGCAACCTGGTCAACAACCCGCTGGCGCAGGCCGACTGGGCCACCAAGAAGCTGGTATGGGTCCCCTCGGAGCGCCTGGGCTTCGAGGCCGGCTCCATCAAGGAGGAGCGCGGCGACGAGTGCACGGTGGAGCTGGCGGACTCCGGGAAAAAGATCAAGGTGAACAAGGACGACATCCAGAAGATGAACCCGCCCAAGTTCAGCAAGGTGGAGGACATGGCTGAGCTCACCTGCCTCAACGAAGCGTCCGTGCTGCACAACCTGAAGGAGAGATACTACTCTGGCCTCATCTATGTGAGTATGACACCCTGCAGAGACGTTGTACATATGCATATGCTTGTACGCGTATGCCAAAGCAGCAAACGTTTTTACTTCTTGCTGCGCGAGTTTTTCTGGCTTTTGTGAAACATCTCCAGTGTCTTTTGATCTCGGTCCAATCTAATCATCTTCTCGTTAAGCCATCCATGGCTCAAGATGTTCCATTGTGTGTAAGCTGCAAATGGAAGGAAAATGTGCAATCTGTTAACATTCCTCTGTATTGAATTGCTCCATCTTCTTCATCTTGAAACTATCCTGCAGTACTGTAATGTTTGCTGCGTTCTCTCTGTTTGGGATCGAATCATGTAAACAGGAAGCTCCAGAGAACAATGTGCTCCAGAGTGCAAGAGGTTTAAAAAAAAAAAAAAAAAAGAGTGAGAAAGAACGGCACCAGTCCAGGCTTTTTTAAAAAAAAAAAGGGGCATGGAATGTAAACCATGTTGTAACGTTGATTACTTTCCCCCATAATTAATGTTATTTACCCTCATTTTTCTGTCCTGGGAGTGATTTTGTCCCTTTGACACACAGTTGTGACCCGGTCATATCAACAAAGAGCGTTGTCCCCCTCCCCCTTCCTCCACAGATCCATTCTATGGATGGTTTCATAGCTCCGCACTCAAAATGGAGACTCTCTCAGGGGAAACGAAGTGTACTGTAGATGAAGATGTTCAAATCTTTATACAAATATAAAAAGCAAGTTCCCTGATCAGTCATGCAATACATGAACACTCCTTTAAACTTGTAGCTGGGTGGAGCTCCGATTACATAACTTTGTATTACAAACCAGAGTTCATGTGAAAATTTCAGCGATGAGGTAATAAAGTATGGGGCAGTGTTATTACACAAGTTAACAAAACTGCAAACAAAATCCCCTCCTCACGGCAAGGAGGGGATTTATTCCCTGTATGTCAAACCATTCTGGTACTTTTCCTCTATATGATCAGTAACTAATCATGTTTTATTACTTTTCCCTTTTTTAGATTTTAAAGGGGCAGTGTTGTGTAAAATCAACTGTTTTGAGCTTTATGTCATGCTATAACATTATTCCCTCATTAAAAACATACCTGGAGTGTTGCCTTGATTCTCTCATGCATGTTTAAGAAATTCTTTAATCTCCCACGGCAACCATTCAGCTGTGTAAAACGCCTGGGTGGACCTAGCCCCGTCTTCAAGGACAAAGCCCCTCCTCTGAGCTGTAGTTTCCAAGCTTCTCCCTCACAGAGCAGCCCTCCCTAAAGACTCCTACAGACTAGCCAGCAGCAATTGGTAAACACCTGGAAATGCACATATGCTGAGCTCATTATGAGCTACCTCTCAGTGCAACACCAATGACTTCCTGAAGGCGTTTCAGAAAAGGCAGGAGTTTTTAAAGAAACAGAGACCCAATTTCAAGCTATTGAATTACAAAGTCAAATTTCTTTTAAGTCATATTTGATATCTATAGCATTTTTATAACAACTGCAGACAACATAGTTTCTTGATTATGCTATAAAATACTGTCTCTTTAACAGGAATTATTTTAATGTTTTGTTTTGGTATTGGAGAGTAACTATATACAGGTGTGATATGATTATTGTTATTAATGCAAATCTCAAACGCAAATGCTAGTGGAAAATTATAGAATATTGCGTTCTTTTATTTTCTTACTATTACTTTAGCGTTGCAGAATATCTCGTAAATATCCTACTGCAGTATTATTAGCTTTATAATAATATGACAGCTGTTTGGAGTGCAGTAATCATTGGCTAATGCATGCCTGGTGTTGAACTTGCATTCTCCATTCCAGTGTTTATATTTAACCGGTTGGGTGGAGTCTCAGGCTCTCACCTGACACATCTGGCATCGTGAGTGCCTAATATTGCCTAATAAGGCAATGTTCCCTAATTATGTTCCCATCATAAGACTTTCCTAAAGAATTAGTTGAAACTGTACTGTAATATCACTTTAACTGTATAAGAAGTACAAAAAGAGACATAGATTAGCTTACTGTCTTATTATATTTTTGGTGTCCTGATCTGATATTGATTTTGTTAATTGGTCAGATATCAACCAAAAAACAAGTATCAACTTATATCGACCTGCATCTAAAATTTCTGATGAAAACATTCCTCTCCAGCAATTACTCCGCCCCAGAATTTCTATCCAGCAGCCTTTGCATCCCACACGCAAACCTATTGATTAATAAGTGGGTTGGTTGTTTTCATACCAAATGTTTTCTGTGAGAGTAATATAACTTGATTAAGCCTTTTCTAACATTCCACACTGCAAAAATGAATAATAAAATTATGTATGATTCTTTCTGATATCGTATCAGGTCAATATCAGTATGGACCGATACTCAAAGATGTGATATCTGTTTCGTATCAGAAGTGGAAAAGTTGTATTGAGACTTCTAGTGGCATTTTACCAGACAATCTTCCTAGTACTTTTCTACAATCTGTTAACTAATCTTTAAAAAAAACAACAACAAAAAACCATCGTCTATGTGTTGATTATTTGAAGGAAGGCAGTCTTTTCTAAATTGTCTCGTGTCCATCCTGCAGACGTACTCTGGTCTCTTCTGTGTGGTGATCAACCCCTACAAGAACCTGCCTATATACTCCGAAGAGATCGTGGAAATGTACAAGGGCAAGAAGAGACACGAAATGCCCCCCCACATCTACGCCATAACCGACACGGCGTACAGGAGCATGATGCAGGGTGAGCCGCTGCACCCGTCGCCTCGTACCTGCGGGCCATTTTCCTCTCCATTTATCTGTCACAAATGCACAGGATTGAAATATTCTGCTCTAGCAGATTTCTCGCTTCAGTTAGCCGTTTTCCTCCTTTTACCGCAGTGTGTAATCAGTGACTGTTTAGTAGCCGTGGCTCCACTCCGAAGGCCAGAGTTGGGATTTCCTGTCGAGGGTGTTTCTTCAATCCACCTCCTGTATGGCTTTCCTTTTTTCCCCAGAACTCCCTTGGATGTAGTGCATACCACATTAGCTAATCCTCTTTCCCACTGGTGTAATTTTTTTCTTTTTTTCCCTCCTCCTCCACACATTGTACTCCAGACCACATTTCAGGAGGCGATACAATAATTAGGCAGTTAGAAATGCTTCAGTCACAGGAAGCCGGATATTGATTTCCTGTCTGTGGTCGGTGTATTTCCTGTTGCATAGGCGTAAACTTGTACACACTGTGTTGATAAAACGCTCATGAAGTTTCTGTGCAAAGTTGACAATATTCATATTTTTTACCTTTGTTTTTTTGCAGATCGGGAAGACCAGTCTATTCTTTGCACGTAAGTAACCAAGTTTCAACCAGGCTTGTCTTAGTAGCTCACATTCTTCCTTTTATTTTCTTATCTGATTGCATTTTTTGTTTTTCTTGTTATCTCCAGAGGCGAGTCTGGTGCTGGTAAGACAGAGAACACCAAGAAGGTTATCCAGTATCTGGCTCATGTTGCTTCCTCTCACAAGACGAAGAAAGATCAGGTCAGTCCCGCCTGTTGTCTTACAACCTCCACGTTTTTACATATCAGTTTAATCCAAAAGGATGTTTTAATTTAGTTTTTCCTGTTAAAGCTACATACTCATGTGTACCTGTGTGATTTGTGTGGACAGTAAACGATTTTCTTCAGTAAGAAAACCCGGCAGTGTTCTGCTCTAAAGGAACCACCTTTTTTTTTTCTAGATGTAAAAACTGACTTTATCTGATGTTTAATTGAACCGGAAAGTTGTGCAAACTCAGGCCTTTTGTCAGGCAAAGCAGGAGAACCTGTTCTGGTATTCTTCTTGTCAGCCACATTTGATGCTGCACAGACGACCCCGGAAGGGCTTTAAAGAAACCACACCTTTCATCCCTTTTTGAGGTTGTTTTTCTTTTTTTTTTCGTCCCCCATCAACAGGGTTCATACCTGTCACATGTGAGTTTATCCTTCCTCCTCCACCTGCTTCTGTCACCATGTTGTTCTTTTTTTTCTATCCTTTCTCCTCCCCCACTCCATTTCCCACCCGCTGCTGAAGCCTGCTCTGTTTTGGGAGTCACTTTGTATGGAGGGCAGAGGTGACATGTCTTGCCAGCCATTAGGAAGTCAGGAGGAAGTTTGTTTGCAGCTCGTTGGCAGCCGTACATGTTCCAGTGAAAAGTTCAACCAGACAATAAGTAGTGGAAGAGGAGGGGGGTCTGTATAGATGGAAATATATCCATCATCTTTTTCTTTATTGGTTCATTTTTTTTATGATTTGTCTGGTTGAATTTTTCATTAAAGCGCTATTTTATTGTGCAAAAAATCCTGAATTGCTTCTTTGTTTTTGCTTTGTTTTACAAGAAGGCTTTAAATTTATTACTAAGATTTTTACATTTTGCACAGTGACTTGCAAATGTTTTTGTTGAGATGTTTTTTGTGTCAGACTAACAAAATGTTGTATGTATTGGCCAATGGAAAGTAAAATTATGCATGGATTTAAAAAAAATTAAGTGATAAAGTAGAGAAAACCTGCAGTTAAGTTTTTTTTGGCCCCCTTTTTTTTTTTTTTTTTTTTGATTTTTTTTTTTTTTTCAATTCAGTCAGAAATCAAATAACTTCTTCAAAGCACTACAACAATTTAAACAACTTGACTGAAAAGCTGCCTGCAGAAGCACAAGGCTAACATTTATACTGTTAAATTAAACTAAATTACATATCACTTCTTATATTTAAATCATTAAATAAAACCACAAAAGGAAAGAAAACAGACTCATCACGATTTTATTGTTTTTAGTATATTTGATTTACACTCATTACTTAAATAAAGCAACCAGGCGTCTTTAGAGGCTACCTAGTTAGCAAAACGCAGCTAATGCTGTACGTCGCCCCGATCACAGCATGCACATGGTGACCCATGGTAGTGGCAGTATCATGCTCTGTAGTACGGACCAGGAAGCTGTTAGATTAGAGATGACGGACTGTAAAATGACACACAGTATTTATGTTCAATAATACTTCAAAATAATTTGAAAAAGATGGTTCAAACAGCAAAAGTAAAAATCCGAACTATTACCCCAGTTTTTGGAGTTTGCAAGAGCAATCGGTTCATTTCATTTAAATGAATAGTAATATAATAGTCTTTTTTTCATCTTTCTTGATAGTAAATCATATAGTCACTCATCCAGTTGAATAATCAACCGAAGTACATAGGCAGAGATGCAATGCAATGTTTTAAAATGGCCTACTCAAAGTCCAGTAAATCCACCTGAGCGTCTGGGAGAAGACTTTACTATAGTCATATTTATCAGCTAAGCAGGGGCTGACTACATGTTTTTCACACTTTTCATCTTTTTATTTCTACAAAAAAAGCTGAAAATTCTGCATAATTTTCCTTCCTCTTCCAAACATGTTTTACGTTCTGTCAACTGGTAATCTAATAAAACACATTAAAGTCTGAGATTGCAAACTGACAGAATGTAAAAAAAAAAAAAGATATTAAAAATAATAATAAAAAAACAAGTTGAAACCTTTTGCAAGGCACTGTGTTGTTGAGTATGTGTTTACACTTCAAAACAAATCATTTTGAACTCGAGTCATGCTTGTTTTGGACATTTTTTGTGTTTGTGTGTTTTTAACCGCTCACCAAGGGTTTCTTAAAGCCTTAAATTAAATAAGGATGGACTGAAAAGTTCCCTCTCCTGAGTCTTCACTGGACTGTTCTTCTCTGTATCAGGTGCTGGGTTTGTTGACGGTCTCTGGGTCTGGGTTGTTGTTGGGGCACTAATGCGTCATGTGTTGGGTTTTATGCTTGGGTGCAAAATGTGTGTTGCTGCTGCTGGTCTGTGTTATTTAAATGTTTTTTTTTTTTCCCTTCTCAGATGTAAACTACCTATGGTCAATCAGCTAACATTAATATTCCTGAATATTTGATTTTAGAATAAAATGAAATTTGGCTGAATGATTTTAGACCAAATCTCAGCCTTTGTTTACCATTCTAATGACAGAATGGTAAACAAAGACTTTGGATGACGAATACTTTTGCCAAAATTGTCGTCATGATGTGACTGAGTATGAGGGCCACGTTAAGAAAATTAAAAATAAAATAAAATTATGAAGGAAAAAGTCATATTATTATAAGAAAAGAGTCAAAAATGATATGTTGTCAATATTTTTCTGGTAATATGACTTTATTCTCACATTATTACAACTTTATTCTCGTAATACAACTATTGTAATACCATGATTTTATACTTGGATTTGAATAAATAAAATTTCCTTACTATGGTCCGATTATTCCGTCGTATTATGAAGTATGAATTTTAACTTTTTTATATATATATAACATTCTCTGCAAATCTGTTACCTTCCACCAGGGGGAGCTGGAGAAGCAGCTACTGCAGGCTAATCCCATCCTGGAAGCCTTTGGAAATGCCAAAACCGTCAAAAATGACAACTCTTCCAGATTTGTATGAATGATTACAAAGTTAAGATTTCTAATAATTTTTTAGTTTCACATTTTGTTTAAAATGATTTATTGTTCCCCTTGCAGGGAAAATTCATTAGAATCAACTTCGATGTCAACGGCTACATCGTTGGTGCCAATATTGAAACCTGTATCCTGATTACTGAGATTACATAGTTTTCCCTTTCTGCTTCGTTTGAATGATTTAGGAATTGAACGTTTGAGCTGCTAAATTAGTTGTTGTCAAAATCCTTCCTTTACAAATTGACCTCAAGACTTGCTGGAGAAATCCCGTGCCATTCGCCAGGCCAAAGACGAGAGGACGTTTCACATTTTCTACTACATGCTCACAGGAGCAGGAGACAAACTACGAAGTAAGAGGCTGCTCGGATATTTAGCGGAAGGTTTACTATTGGTTGCGTTCTTGTCACTTGGCTTGAAAATCAAATGTCTCCATTTTGCCGTTGACCACAGACGAGCTTCTCCTTGAAAATTACAACAACTATCGATTCCTTTCCAACGGAAACGTCACGATCCCGGGACAGCAGGACAAGGATCTGTTCACAGAAACCATGGAGGCCTTCAGGATCATGGGGATTCCAGAGGACGAGCAGATCGGTAAGGAATCGACTTCTAGTATTAGAATTTACATCCCAGGTCTGGAAAACTTCTGGATATCTTGACTATTCCTGGTCCCAATTTCCAGATTTATAACCACATTTCTGCCTGACGGTCTAACCCGCCCTGTGTCCGGCTTTCAATCCGGCCTTTTGTTTTATGCGACAGGCATTTGGGTGTTGAGTTCCCATTTAAAGCGTTTTTAAAAGGAGGATTTTCTTTCTCCTTAAAAACATTAGTTTTCCTCTTGATGTTTAAGTTCTTTAAAAAAAATCTGAAGGGGAAAAAACACTTTCTAGTACCTTGTAAAACCAATGTTTTACATTGTTTTATAGTTGCTATAAAACAATGTAAATGTTTTCAGTGAAAATGCGAGCAGCAGCGTTCTGGATCAGTGTGGCATAAACTTCATGCATTTCTGCTCATTTCCTTGTTTGCGTAGGCATGTTGAAGGTGGTGGCCGCAGTGCTGCAGCTCGGAAACATGAGCTTCAAGAAGGAACGGCACACAGACCAAGCCTCAATGCCTGACAATACAGGTAAAGATGAACCTCATCTCTGCACATTGAAGTCTTTTTCCCCCCCCTCCCAATCAGCTGCGATAATACCGTTTCTCTGCACCAGCTGCCCAGAAGGTGTGCCACCTCATGGGCATGAACGTGACGGACTTCACCAGGGCCATCCTGTCCCCCAGAATCAAAGTGGGCCGAGACTACGTCCAGAAGGCTCAGACTCAGGAGCAGGCGGAGTTCGCCGTGGAGGCCCTGGCCAAGGCTACCTATGAGCGGATGTTCCGCTGGCTGGTCATGAGAATCAACAAAGCGCTGGACAAGACAAAGAGACAGGGCGCCTCCTTCATCGGTATCCTGGACATCGCCGGCTTTGAGATCTTTGATGTGAGAAACGAACCCTCCTGGACGACGTTGACGTCCACACACACACACGCATGCACACACGACGATCGGTGGGTGCTGAGCAGTTTCCTCTTCTCTTTGCAGCTGAACTCCTTCGAGCAGCTGTGCATCAACTACACCAACGAGAAGCTGCAGCAGCTCTTCAACCACACCATGTTCATCCTGGAGCAGGAGGAGTACCAGAGGGAGGGCATCGAGTGGAGCTTCATCGACTTCGGCCTGGACCTGCAGCCGTGCATCGACCTCATCGAGAAACCGGTTGGTTCCTCTGGTCTTTCAATATTTTAGTACGAGAAGATTTCTTACCAATATGTTGTCCAACATTCTCGCTCTCTCTTCTGCCTCCAGGCCAGTCCTCCTGGTATCCTGGCTTTGCTGGACGAGGAGTGCTGGTTTCCCAAGGCAACGGACAAGAGCTTTGTGGAGAAGGTGGTCCAGGAGCAGGGCACACACCCCAAGTTCCACAAGCCCAAGAAACTGAAGGATGAAGCAGATTTCTGCATCATTCACTACGCTGGCAAGGTAGACCTGCACCCTCTGTCCTCATGCAGTCTCCTTTATACCATGTCGACACTAGCTGCCTTTCTGTTACAAATGTAAAACACGCTTGTCAAACAAAATGGACCTGCTGATATCACTCTGAACTATGGAAACCAAATTTTTCCAAACAATAAAACCTCAAAAACCAAAAGTTCAGCCCTGCCCAAAGCCATAAACCGTGCTTGAGATATCCTGACGATGCGTTTCCTGTCAGGTGGATTACAAAGCGGACGAGTGGCTGATGAAGAACATGGACCCCCTGAACGATAACGTCGCCACGCTCCTCAACCAGTCCACCGACAAGTTTGTGTCTGAGCTCTGGAGGGACGGTGAGTTTAGGCGGACGTGGCTTCAGTAGGGTCAGGTCTTTTCTCTAAACTGTTCATAGTTCTCACTTCTTTTACTGTCCGGTTCTTGGCCTCTGTCTTTACCTTTTTGTCAAACCTCCGCTGGTCGTTTGTCTGTTTCTTCCTCCGTTTGGCCCCGTTCTCGTCTGTCGTTTATTTATTTTTTATTTTTTTCCTGTCGGCTCTCAGAGGTACAGCATTGTCAGAGAGCTTATTTTTACCAACGTTTTCCTATTCTGCACTCTGATTCAGGTGAAACAGATTCTTTCTTACTATTTTCCCCCCTGCTGTTTGTTTTGTGTCTCTATTATTATTAGCCGTAAAGAAAACTTTAAAAACAGCTTTTTTTTTTTATTCATCCCATACTGAACATATGAACTACTGGCCTTAAAAAACAACTCTGTAATAATCTCTGGGTCGTTGTTGCTCTTTCATTGGACTCTCCTTTTCTCCCTCTGTGTGATAGCGTTGTGTGGGGACCCCTGGTGTTGGTCTTGGGTACTGCAACAGTGCAGCAATGGGTATATACTGCATGGGTTTGGTTTTGTCACCACCTTTGGCACACATACATATTCAAATCTGCCATCGCACATAGTTTTCACTCCAATAAACAAACTGTCATCGTTTACAGTTGACAGATCTCTTTAAGTCACTGCATTAAATATATTGATTCAGTTTTGTTTTGTTTTTGTCATGGTGTGTTATCCTTCTGGCTTCACTGGCTTCTGTGACTGGCCTGTTGTCCTTCTTTTGCATTTACTCGCCGTTTGTGTGGTGTTCTAGTGGTTCTGGTTCTGTAAGCCACCTCCTGTGGTCCGGTGTGTGTCTTCTTGAGACAACCTGAGACAACGGTCCTCTTCATTATTCCTTGTGATGTGCATTTGCCTTGAGTTTGCTTGGTTAGACATTCAGACCACCTGAAATTCATTTGAGGTCAAACATAAAGCATGTTTTTTTTTTTTTATTTTTTTTTCCTCCATTTTCCAGTGGACCGCATCGTGGGCCTGGACAAAGTGTCCGGCATGTCCGAGATGCCCGGTGCCTTTAAGACCCGTAAAGGCATGTTCCGCACCGTGGGCCAGCTCTACAAGGAGCAGCTGTCCAAACTCATGGCCACACTGAGGAACACCAACCCCAACTTTGTTCGCTGCATCATTCCCAACCATGAGAAGAAGGTATGTGTGAATTATGGTAACATTAGTAAGAATTATTTTTTCTAAATGTCTTAATTATACATATCCTTTTCAAAAAGTTCATCACATGTCCACTCAGATAAACAACATGCATTTAGACTTTGAAATATGTGTATGACGGATCAATAATGCTACATCTGTTGGGTAACATTTTTTAACATAATAATTGTGTTGTAGTTTTTGTATTTACTAGAGATGCACTGATCCACTTTTTTCACTTGCAAGAGCAATGCCAATATCTGAGGTTTAGTATTGGCCGATACCAATCTGATATAGAAAATTGGTGCTGAATTGACTAAAAAGTAGTTGTTGTTTTTTTAAATACAAGTATAAATGTACTGAATGACACATTTGTTTGATAACTCTGCACTAGTACAGCACATTTAAATACCAAATAGCTTCACAAGCTGAGCCAAACATGCAGATTGACCAGCATGGCTCCGTCTTTCCAGGCTGGAAAGTTGGACCCCCACCTGGTTCTGGACCAGCTCAGGTGTAACGGCGTGCTGGAGGGGATCCGTATCTGTAGGCAGGGATTCCCCAACCGCATCGTTTTCCAGGAGTTCAGACAGAGGTAAGGCAGCAGAACCCAATGTTTATTTATTATTGTTTGAGCAGAAGAGGAGAGCATAGAGATGAATACATGTTCTTTTTCTCAGGTATGAGATCCTGACTCCAAACGCCATCCCCAAGGGCTTCATGGACGGGAAGCAGGCCTGCGTCCTCATGGTGGGATTCCTGCAGACGTAGGTTTACAATCCCCATGTTCCTCTGCAATCCAACTTAGCGATTGTTTTCTTCTTTTTAATATCAGATCCAGTCTCTGGAGCTGGATGCCAACCTGTACCGCATTGGCCAGAGCAAAGTGTTCTTCAGGGCCGGAGTCCTGGCTCACCTGGAGGAGGAGAGGGACATGAAGATCACCGACATCATCATCAGCTTCCAGGCCTGGTGCCGAGGCTACGTGGCCCGCAAGTAAGACGAGAGCCCCTTTATTCATTCCTAAACCAGTTTACATGGAGTCAAATGTTTTTAATGAATCAGAGTCTCAGTATGACGCTGCCACCTCCGTGCTCAGCAGGTATTGAACTATACAGGCTATACAAATTTGAACAATACTTAATTATAAAAATTCTGCTATCAGAGGATCAGAAATCAGCCAAAAATGTCAGAATCTTGACTAAAAGCTGAGGTTTCTCTAAAAATGATAAATTCAACTCAGATAGTTTTAGACTAAGTTTTTGTACAGAAGTTTAACTTCCAGAACGTGGCATTAAATCCAGGAGCTGTTTGTTGTTTTAACAAACCTTGTCAATCCAACAAGACGAGTTTTATATCTCGTTTTAACAAGAGTTTGTTTAATGAGACAGAAAACTACTCTCTGGCAGATTGCAACTCATTAGAAAGTCATAACACGGCTAACTAACGACTCTCTTCCTCTTTATCCCATTTCCTCTAAACATCTAAAAATCCCAAGTCGTGCTGCTGGTTTACTGTTACGACCTTTCTTGTTCAAAAGACAAAAATATTTTGGTTTTGATGAGCCATAAATGTTGTGACAAAACTTTTAAAATGGCGTCATTTTACAATTTGTTGAAGGTTTGTATGTTTCACCCTGAAAAACAAACGCATTATTACAAGCATAAAAATGAGACTTTTTCCAATAGCACTTCTAAATTTGTAATTGTTGGGATTAGTGATGATTTGTTGTAGTGTGTGAATGTTTCTGATGGGCAGCGTTTTGCTTGCAGGGCTTTTGCAAAGCGACAGCAGCAGCTGACGGCCATGAAGGTGATTCAGAGGAACTGTGCTGCTTATCTTAAACTGAGGAACTGGCAGTGGTGGCGACTCTTCACCAAGGTAACCCTCAAAGAAACATCCTACTGATTAAACTTTGCTTTCTTCTTTTCTCACTCTTCCGGATATAAACATTTCCTTTTCCCCTGTTAGGTGAAGCCTCTGCTTCAAGTCAGCCGGCAGGAGGAGGAGATGCAGGCCAAGGATGAAGAGCTGCATAAGGTGAAGGAGAAGCACCTGCAAACTGAGCAGCAGCTCCAGGAGATGGAGGAAAAACATCAACAGGTATCGCTTTTGAGAAAAAAACAACGCTTTACACAACTGCTCATGGTTGATAAAGGCTAACCACGAAATCATCTGGTGTCATTTACCAGCTGAATGCCGAGAAGATGGCCCTGCAGGAGCAGCTGCAGGCTGAGACGGAGCTCTGCGCCGAGGCCGAGGAGATGAGAGCCCGCCTGGCCGCCAAGAAGCAGGAGCTGGAGGAGATCCTCCACGACCTGGAGGCACGTGTGGAGGAGGAGGAAGAGCGCGCGTCGCACCTGGCTACTGAGAAGAAGAAGATGCAGCAGAATATCTCCGTAAGAAAACAGACGGTTCTGATAGGCGGTTCCTCAGGGTCTGATCTGCCTTATCAAATATCACGTCATGGATGTGCCAACAGGACCTGGAGCAGCAGCTGGATGAAGAGGAGGCAGCCAGGCAGAAGCTGCAGCTGGAGAAGGTCACTCTGGAGGCCAAGATGAAGAAGATTGAAGAGGACGTCATGGTTCTCGACGATCAGAACAACAAACTACTCAAGGTTTGGATTCTGGCATATTTTGCTAAATGTGCTAATGGCAGAGACACGACTTACTTGAAAAGTGTTTAAACGTTGTCATCAGTGTCTTCACAACTAATATGAAACCACTGCTGGTTGATTTTTTTTTTTTTTTTTTTTTTTTTTTTTTAGATTTCAATTTTTTTTTTTTTTTTTTTTTTTCCTTCATGTG